TATCCGTTGTACGCGATGTTCTGTCCTCCAAACTTGTTACGAAGAAACGTCACTTGAATTTGTGCATTTGCCATGTTGGTGGTTGATGGGGAATATGTGAGACCCTCAACTTCCTTTTATATTTACAAAACATACAGCTTGGACAATATCACTTGTTTAATCACCACAGCATCAATTAAGTGACGAACATTTAGGTTATGAAATGTATTCACTTTTTTATTACCGGACAGAGAATGAATTTCTATTAATAGTGATTAATCGCTTTGCAAACTGTCAGCTTTTATGTCCCTTAATAAGCTTGTATACTTGTATAATTAATTGTCGACTCAATGCTCACCAGTAAAGTGGTCAGTTGATGGACCCAAAATCATCAGGTGTTAAGATTCATTATTATCAACTAGAAATATCAGTGGACCCAAGCCATATGGGTTATCAAGAAGAAACATAACTAATAATTATGTTTTAGGGGAAAATAATCTAATGAGTGATACTAAGTTAATAGTAATTACATTGAAGACGCATTTATTGGTAAAACAGATTCTCTGAAAATAATGCATCAATATGAACTTGCTTCACCCTAAATTAAATCTATTGAAATTAAAATTTAATTAATCAAAGCATTATCATCTATACATAAATATAATATTTGTGGATTTCACGTAACTGTTTTGCATAGATCTAGCTGATGAAAATGGTATATGATATGAAAAAATGGCAAAATGATGAAAATAGACAATATCTAAGCTATATGTATATGACAGTACTGTATATATGACACAGGTTATGTGGGAGAACACAGGTAAAATATATATGAAACAGACTATAACTGCTATCACAACATTACTGCCTCTATGTTTTTTAAAAAAAAGTGGGAGAAAAAAGAACACACCATGACAACACAGTCAATTCACTACCAAAATCAGTCAACCGTGACGACACCACAGACTCCTCCTTTAGAAGTTTAACCTTCATATTTTAACAAATACAGTCGCCTTAAGCTTACAACCGCTCTATAACAACTGTGGCGATTTTATTATCCCGATCTTTATCGTCCATATCCTCTGTAGTAACTTCCAGGCCAAATAACTGACTTGTTTGTTATTAATATGATGACGTTTTGTATCAGTGAACATCTTGCCTCTACATAGTTTAACAGCAAGTTTGTTAATTTGTTTGTTATTTGTATGAGGATGTGCTGTTTATGTGTGAACATCTTGCCTCTACATAGTTTAACAGCAAGTTTGTTAATTTGTTTGTTATTTGTATGAGGATGTGCTGTTTATGTGTGAACATCTTGCCTCTACATAGTTTAACAGCAAGTTTGTTAATTTGTTTGTTATTTGTATGAGGATGTGCTGTTTATGTGTGAACATCTTGCCTCTACATAGTTTAACAGCAAGTTTGTTAATTTGTTTGTTATTTGTATGAGGATGTGCTGTTTATGTGTGAACATCTTGCCTCTACATAGTTTAACAGCAAGCTTGTTAATTTGTTTGTTATTTGTATGAGGATGTGCTGTTTATGTGTGAACATCTTGCCTCTACATAGTTTAACAGCAAGCTTGTTAATTTGTTTGTTATTTGTATGAGGATGTGCTGTTTATGTGTGAACATCTTGCCTCTACATAGTTTAACAGCAAGCTTGTTAATTTGTTTGTTATTTGTATGAGGATGTGCTGTTTATGTGTGAACATCTTGCCTCTACATAGTTTAACAGCAAGCTTGTTAATTTGTTTGTTATTTGTATGAGGATGTGCTGTTTATGTGTGAACATCTTGCCTCTACATAGTTTAACAGCAAGCTTGTTAATTTGTTTGTTATTTGTATGAGGATGTGCTGTTTATGTGTGAACATCTTGCCTCTACATAGTTTAACAGCAAGCTTGTTAATTTGTTTGTTATTTGTATGAGGATGTGCTGTTTATGTGTGAACATCTTGCCTCTACATAGTTTAACAGCAAGCTTGTTAATTTGTTTGTTATTTGTATGAGGATGTGCTGTTTATGTGTGAACATCTTGCCTCTACATAGTTTAACAGCAAGCTTGTTAATTTGTTTGTTATTTGTATGAGGATGTGCTGTTTATGTGTGAACATCTTGCCTCTACATAGTTTAACAGCAAGCTTGTTAATTTGTTTGTTATTTGTATGAGGATGTGCTGTTTATGTGTGAACATCTTGCCTCTACATAGTTTAACAGCAAGCTTGTTAATTTGTTTGTTATTTGTATGAGGATGTGCTGTTTATGTGTGAACATCTTGCCTCTACATAGTTTAACAGCAAGTTTGTTAATTTGTTTGTTATTTGTATGAGGATGTGCTGTTTATGTGTGAACATCTTGCCTCTACATAATTTAACAGCAAGCTTGTTAATTTGTTTGTTATTAGTATGGGGATGTGTTTTTATATGTGAACATCTTACCTCTGCAGACAAACTTGTCAAAATCCATCACCCCAGGGTTTGATATTCGTGTGAGGATGTTCTTGTTGATTGGTGTATATGACTAGATTTAACGGAAATTGTCGAGGGTGTAAGTCTGCACCCTCTTGAGCTTCCAAGAAAATATTTCTTCATGGACGTTTTATATTTGAGACTTACAAAAAGTCTATATAGAACTAGCTGGCTGGTCAGTGAAATCAGGATGAAAACGGGGATAAAGTCAATTTAACAATTTAATAATTTATAGGTGAACAAAGGGTATGTATATAAACACTGGATAACACGAATAATCAACTCACAACCTGCCAGCTACCTTTACTTGTAACGTAAGGAAAACAGCACTTTTTTTTAATGAAACCGCTACTGACCACTGCAGAAAAATGTGATCACCATATCATTGTATTGTACGATAGTATACTATTCCGAAAATTTGGTCAGATAAAATCACAAATCACAAATACTGTTTCATAACCATTTACCATGGGCAATGCCAATTAAATCAATCATTCATGATAAAGAAACGCGTCAAAAACCAACGGGTAAAATACATATTAGAATACTGATTTATTTTATGCTAGGATATCTGTTAAAGCTTCAACACAACCAGAGTTTATGTATTCTGCATTTCTAAAAAAACACAAGTACAATATACACATACGAAGACAGGTAGCACCTTTTTTGAATCCTCGCCTGAGAATCTGAAAATATTTTTTTCACGTAACCAGATGTTTCTATCTTGGTCGTATCACCTTGCAGATACAGTTATTTGTGTCTATCCGCCCGAAGTTCGTCGAGGTGGTTGGCGCGAAGGAAAGAATCGGCTGCTCGCAACATTTGCCGGATGTTGTACAGCGCAAGGATACTAATATCGTCTTTGGTAGACGTTTCCCAAAAGTAGTTCTTCATCGGCATCACCGTCATTGGCGGTAACCCGAGACAGCCGGCAGCGTCTACACACCTTTGTCTTATGATTGGACTCCGATACACCATGGCTGTGTGCTGTTTAGTTGCTTCACAAATATTGTCCACTTTACTCAATATAGCGAGTTGGGGAATTCCTACAAATAAACGGTTTATCAAAGAGAAATAGTGAAGCAAATCAAATATCTTTCATGTGCAAGCGAAAAAAATGATGATCATATGAAGTGATCTGCTGAGACCATTTTCTAATTCTATTTGTTTTCTCTTTCGAGGGTAAACAAACTATTTTTTGTGATTGGCGATTAGAATGTGTGATTCGATTTGAATTCGAGAACAATAGTTTGGGATTGTAAACTAAAATTTATGTTCTAGTCGCCAGTATAGACACGAAATACAACGTGTGTTGTTCACTCTAACAGAGTTAGAAAATCACTAGGGTTATATTTCCTTGGAAAAAAAAAGAGTTCATCTCTCTAACTGTCATGTCTTTCATCTGTCTTTTGATGTCTCCTTTTTACCTTCGTTACCTTTGTTGTCTGTTCATGTCAAATTTGAACTGTGATCTTGAACATGTACTTTGGTGCTAATGATGTGGTCATTTTTATTCAACCCACTCTTCATAACAATTTAGACATGTTATCCCTTTTTATTGTGAAAATGATCTGCATCGCCACACAAAAACGTACTCCAGTAAAGAAAAGTACCTCTCTGGTCTACAGCTTCCTGGATGGTCTTGATTTGCTCCCTCACAGGCTCTGTCACAAAGGGTATACCGAGTTCCCCGGAGTATGTCTCAGCATCCAGGACGTACACAACACAGTGAATTCTGTCCTCCAGGCTCGGGTTGTGTTTGTATCCATGCATGTTCCATGTCAACGGGAAGGAGGTGTTAAACTGTAAGTGTAGGAATGCAAACGATGAGTAGATAGTCAAAGTCAAAATGCACGTTTAAATACTATACATATACTAAGATATACTAAACTATATTGAAAAGAAAGTGAAGGCAATCTTAAACTGTTTCAATCCAAACTTACCGCATAATCGTCGGGCATATGTCCTTCTAGAATGGAATCAATGTCTCTGCTGATACCGATTCTATCCTCAAGTCCTCTACAGTCACACAGCCGCAATTTCATGGTGTGTCTGTTGTCCGAGGCTCGAACTGGATACTGTCGGTACTGTAGGCATTCCATCATAGGATATTTTAATCAAAATTTACTTGATCAAACAAACTGTCAATATATATTAATACATTGTATTAATGACGAAAATGAATTAAACATCTCGTAACTAAACATCTACACATAGATAGTATTCAACTCCAACGACCTTCTTATACTTATACTGTAATCTAACACCCCCCCCCCCCCCCACCAC